GGACTGATCTAAGTCACTAAAATTCCCTAATTGGTATAAAGTGACAACTAGTTTTAATTTACGCTCTTCCAAGTTCTCATGCCTTTGAGCATCTCTTCATGTGCTTGTTAGCTTTCTGGGTTTCCTCTCCTGCAAATTTCCTGTTCATATATTTCACTCATGTTACTACTGGAGGTTGTTGTACTTTTCTGATCGATTGTACAGGAGTTCTTCATTTATTCTAGCTATCTCTCTCCCGTCATTGTTAGACACTGCAGATATCTTCTCCTATTCTGTCACCTATTAACTCTGTTCATGGTGTCCTTCATTGAACAGAAATTCATAACTTTGATGTAAAAAATTTCACTAGGAGTGGTATTCACTTATGACAAATTTTGTGCTTTTGAAGTTTTGTTTAAGAAGTCCATCCCCATGCCAAATCACAAGATGTTCTCTTATATTTTCTTCTAACATCTGCCTAGCTTTACTCTTTACAGCTGGGTCTTTAAGTCACCTAACCTTCTCCTTGGAGAGGGATATTAGGTTAGGATCTAGCTCTGCTTTTCTCCATACAGTGAGATTTCCCAGCACCGTCTACCGCAGCAGTGCTTCTCAACGTGTGCTCCTTGCACCATCATCTACATTGTCTGGAACTTGTTGGAAATGTCAGTTCTCAGCTCCTGCCTCAGACCTGCTCAGAAACTGGGAAGGAGGCTCATTCTTAGAGATGCTAAACTGTGAGATGCACCGTACGAAACAATCTGTCCTTCACCCGTTTATATTTGGGGCCGCTTTTACCATCCAGTAAGTTGCCATTTACACATGGATTGGCCTCTGAACTCTCCACGCAGTTTCACTCTACTTGTACTGTAATCACACTGTTTAAAATTAAGATGGAGTCTTCGCTATTTCTTAATATCGGGTAGGGCAAGCCTTTCTCCTTTATTTTTCTATTTCAAGATTGACTTAGGTATCTGTGGACATTTATTCCAATCTACAAATTTTAGAAGAAGTTTATCAAGTTAAAAAAAACCTAGATTTTCAATTGGGATTGCAACAAAATTATAGATTAATTGTTATCCTTATAATATTTGCATCCCGTACAAGAGCGCAGAATATATCTCCACTGAGTCTGAGGGCACCAGTGCAGGCAGGGGCTGGGTGACAGGGCCATGGCAGTGGAGGCGGTGCAGCTTTTCCTGTGGTGTTCACCTGGACTTGGGCGGGCAGTCAAGAGTTCTGCCCTTGGGCTAGAGAGAACAGGATTTTCTTGGGACTTCTTTTGTCAGTGCCCATTGGTGTTTCCGGGCTGTGGGCTTCCTCTAGTGCCCACAGGTTTGTACAGGAGGCAAAACAAATGAAGAAACAACCTCACTGCAGGTCACCCTGAGTGCCATGGTCCCAGCGAGTCTGCCTTCATTTCTCCACCTTTCAGAGTCTTCTGATAATTATTTATTTTGTACACGGTTTGGGGTTGCAATTATCGGGAGGAATGGAGTGGAATTTCATCTTGTCTGGAAGAGAAAGTCCAGCTTATTTTATTTTATTATTTGTTTATATAGCCATGAGATATAATTCACATGCCATGTGATTTTCCCATTTAAAGTACAATTCAATGGTTTTTAGTATATTCATAGAATTGTGCAACCATCACCACGATTAATTTTAGAACATTTTCATCACCCCATAAAGAAAACCTGTACCATCAGCAGTCACTCTCCATTTCCCCCCCAATTTCTCCCCCTTCTTCAGGGCCTAGGCAACCGCTAACCTACTTCCTGTCTCTATGAATTTGCCTACTCAGGATGTTTCACATAAATTGACTCATACGATATGTGGTGTATTGCGACTGGCTTCTTTTATTGAGCACGATTTTTTTTTGCAGAGAAGGATTCGCTCTGAGCTAACATCTGTTGCCAATCTTCCTCTTTTTTTTTTCCTCCCCAAAGCCCCAGTGCATGGTTGTATATCCTAGTTATAATTTCTACTGGTTCTTCTATGCGAGCTGCTGCACAGCATGGCAACTGATAGACGAGAGTGGTGTGGTTCCGCGACCGAGAAACAAACCCTGGCCCCCGAAGCGGTGAGAGCGCAGAACTTTAACCACTAGACCATCGGGGTTGGCTCAAGCGTCATGTTTTTAAGGTTCATCCCCATTGCAGCCCATGTCACTACATCATTCCATTTCATGGAGAATAATATTCCATTGCATGGATATACCCCATTTTATCTATCCATTCATCAGTTGATGGACATTTGGGATGTTTCAGCTTTCGGCTATTTTGAATAACGCCACTACGGATGTTTGTATCAGTTTTTGTGTGGACAGCTCGTTTATTTTTAACCTTTGTTTTTTTCCTGATAAAAGTATTTAAAGCTATAAAATTTTCTCTATGGACTTCTTTAGCTATGTTCATGTTCATTTTGCCTAGTGATTTCTTAAACTATAAGTTCCCCCTAATCCTCCTCTTGGTCTCCCTCCATCTTTCATCTCATTGATGCTAATTGTAGCCATTTTACAGCCACAAAGCGAAGACCTAGAGAATTTCACAGGCCCTAACCCAGGCCCCTGACGTCGTTGCACTACTGACTTGCCTACCTCTGGACGTCTGGTTATGTGAGAGAATTAATCCTCTTCATTTGCACATCCACTGTGAATGGGAATTTTGGCATTGTCAGCTAGGTCACCCTAACGGGTACATGTGCACATGCCCTTGACTGTCTTGCTCTTCTGTCTCCAGTATACTTGCCTGGGGAAATGCCACCTCTGCTTGACCCCAACCATCTGCATCCAGGTAGCTGAAGATGGCTGGAGGAAAGTCCGTACACTCTGGCTAGCTGGTTTCACCTTAAAGTCATAACCACTAACCACAAGCGGATATAATATGAACAGGCAATCCTACTCCACTTCCCTAGAAAGAGGAGGCTGGCCATTCCTACCTTTTCCTCAAACCTCCCATATTTCCTAGGAGCTCTTCTCCTTCCTAGCTGGGAAAATAGCATCTTCTTCCTATTCTCAGTAACAAACAAGTCTATTTGCTTCCTGTCTTCTCTCAATTTATAGCAGACAAACTATCCCTGCTCTTATCAAGACCAATCCTCCCACTTGTATTTTGGTGCCTATCCCTGCTCTCCTGTCCTAAGACCTTGTCCTATACCTGTCCTTCTCCCTGGCACCAGCAAAATTCTGTCTCTGCTGCACCATTCTCATCAGGATATCGCCTGCTCTCATGTCTCCCATTTTCAGAACAAGACAAATCTTCCCTCTTGTGACTCCTCATCTCTCAGCAGCATTTGACGGAGCTGATCCCCGCACTCTTCTTGAAACATTATCTTCTCTATGATTTCTCTCTCTCTCTCTCCCCTCTCTCTTTCCTTCTCTCTCAGTCTCTCTGTCTCTTTCTCTCTCTCTCTCTGTCTGATCTCTCAGTCTATTATTCTATTTTCTTATCAGCCCTAAGTCTGAATGTTGAAGAAAGCAGGGCACTAACCTTAGCCCCCATCCCTCCTCTAACTACACTGAATTCCTAGGTCATCACATCCGGTCCCATGACTTTAACAATCATCTGTATGCTGACGGCTCTCAAGTTCCCATCTCTAGTCCTGATTTGCCACCAGCTTCTAGCAAGACTCATGAAAGGACTTGCCTTCTGGAACCACCTCCTGGATAAACATCTCAGACTTAATATGGGCAAAACAGGTTGCTTGATTCCCCCTGACCTGTGCCTCCCTATTTCTCCACCTTTGTTAATGGTTCCACCATACAAGCAAGTGTTCAAGCCAATATGTGCAGAGGTCAGACTTGATGTTCCTCCTTCCCATCTCTCACAGATCCAAGTAATATTGGATCTTCCTCAAAATTTTACCTGTACAGTTATTTCCATCTCTGCTGCCTTCCACTCTAGTTCAAGTTTGCATCATCTGTCAGCTGCACTACTGATATAATCTTCTCCAAATTCATGCTTTTACCTTTGACACTGTGGCAGATATATCAGAGAGAAACTTCCAGAATGCAAACGAGACTATTTCACACTTCAGGTTAAAATTCTTCAATGGCTTTCCATAGCCCTTGGTATGAAGCTAAATTCCTTGGAGCCATTCCACATAACTTTTCCCCCATCTCCAGCAGAGCTTGGAAAGCTTTTTGAACTCGCTGCTCCTTTCCAGCTTCTCAGAGAGAAAAGGACAGTCTCTGTGCAGAGTCTGGGGCTTCAAACCTTCCACATTTAAGAAAACCATCAGATTCTTAGTGGTGAGTGGTGATGGGTGCCTGCAGGGTTCCCACAGTCTGCTTTCCTATTAAGCATCTCACCTTAATCCCTGTTGCAAGATGTATTTGTGGTGGTGAACATTAAAGGAGACGGTGGAAATACATCTAAGGAGCGAGAGGCAGCTGGGGGATGAGCTCGGGGCTGGGGTTAAGGAGATCCCAAGAACAGCCAGCACTGGCGGGTGTGGCTGGATTGGCCTCCGTAATCCTTTTTCACCCTGGGTGAATTTCATCTCCACCTCGCCAGTTCATGCCCTGGCCAGCAAGCCTCAGAAATGCTTTTATTCATGTGCCTAAGTGGAGTCCCCTTTTCAGAACAGGTATGGAGTACATTAGGCAGTGAGAATTGTCTTTGGGTAATTACCAAGGATTTGATCCCCTGAGCCACATGGCTCTGAGTCTAGCAAAGGCCCCGACCACCAGGTCAGCAAGAAGGGACCTAAAATGCAGAGCTCACTGACGAGCAGGTTGAGTTTTCACACTGCGTGTCTCTGCTTGCCGGGGTGGAAGGCAGAGGGCCTGATTTTAAAAGAACAAAACCTCAGCGTTCCAGGGCAAGCTTTCTTTTCACGTGGCTGTCAAGGGCGGTGGGGCTGCCCAGGCACTGAGCCTGCCACTGGGGAGAGGCCAACATTCGACTCGACCTCTACCAGGTAGCACCTTTCTTCCCGGCCGTCCAAGATGTCTTGATTCTCCTTCAGCGGTCGGAGTCCCGTGGATGGAACTTTGCCTGGTATAGAGTGCTTGTTTTTTACTCCCGGGACTCAGCTCTCACTCTGGGCGTCAGAAAAATGGGTTTCTTGGGCAGTATGAAACCCCTGTTTTCCAATTCCAAGGGGATCTGTGGAGTAAAAGCAGACAGGACTTTGAGGAAGATTATAAGGGCGGCAGGCTACCGAGAGCTGCAAAGTGTTCAGTACGGAGCTCTCTAAATCAGGAAGCAAGCCCCCTCCTTGTGCCCTCGCTTAGGCCTACAATCTCTCCCCACTGGCAAAGTGGACAGAGCATTTGATTATTCCATTGTGTGGTTTTAAGCAAGTTTAAATCCCCCCCACCCCCCACCCCATTGAAATGGTTTCTAAATTTCTTCCCAAATTCCAAAGTCCTGTGATTAGGGGCATGATGTATCTAGACTGTAGACCATATTTTTGTAACAGGTTTACCTTGCAATGTAGAGTATGAAACAGGAGTCCTTGGTTCACTTCTAGGAAATGTGTATGGATCCCTCACTGGGTTGTACAGAATTTAACCCCTGCCCAAAAAGAGGTGTGGCCCTCACCCTCAGCTTTGGGAGGTGATCTCAAAGCCCTTGGAACATCAGGCCTAATAGAAGTGTGTTTGTTTTCCCAGGGGCCTTGGGTCACACCAAATAGTAAAACATGTGAATCAGGGCGGGGACTTTGGATCTTGTGACATCAGCTCAACCTCCAGAGGGGCTGGAGGCTACATAATGGTGTCCCAGTGAAAACCCCGGCTCAGAGGAGCTTCCCTGGCTGGCAACACTCTAGTGTGTTATAACATGTCCTTGCCAGGAAAGTAACGCTGTTCTCAACTCTGCTGGGAGGGGATGACAGGAAGCTCCAAGGCTAGAACTTTCCTGGACTCTGCCCTGGGCACCTCTTCCCTTGGCTGATTTTAATCTGAATCCTTTCACTCTAATAAACCATAACCACGAGCAGGACAGCTTTCAGTGAGTTCTGTCCTTCTAGCGAATTACTGAACCTAAGGGGGGTCTTGGGGGCCCCTGAACTTGCAATTGGTGTCAAAAGTTAAGGCAGTCTTATGGACTGTTCCCTAACAGCGCACTCTCCAAACTCCAACCCAAAGACCATGGGGGCTTTTGAATCAAATTTGATTAAAAGTAGAGAAAGTACTGTCTCATGGGGGTCTCTTTGCAAGTCTCCATGGAGCTTTCTGCATGAGCATGACCAGAGATGACTTCACAGAGAGCAGGGCAAACGTCACCCCAGTGCAGTGCCAAGGCCCAGAGCCAAAGGGGCAGAGCACGCAGGGGTCCAGCAGCTCTCTGTTTTCTTTCCTGAACCTGGATCCAGGCAAGGAGATTACTAGGAAGATGAGAAAACGGAAGCATTTTTTGTGAACATTCACATACGTTCCAACGATGGAATAACATTCCTGGGTACCTTGTTCACTGCTTTCCACCCAGTACGTGGCACATGCTAGATGCCCAACACGCATACAAATAACAACGAATCTTTATTGGCATCTATGATGTATAAGGCACTGTTTTAGGTTTCACAGGTTGAATTGCATCTCCCCCCTAAAAATTCATCTGTTGAAGTCCTAATCCCCAATACCTCAGAATGTGACTATATTTGGAAATAGGGTAGTTGCAGATGTAATTAAATAAGTTAAGGTGAGGTCACAGTGGAGGACACTGGGCCCCTAATCCGATACAGCTGGGGTCATTATAAGAAGAATACCATGTGAGGAGACAGACACGCACGCAGGGAGAACGCCATGGGAAGACTGGAGTTACGCTGCCACAAGACAAGGAACCACCAGAAGCCGGGAGAGAGGCCTGGAACATATCCTCCCCTAGCACCTTCAGAGGGAGCACGGCCCTGCTGACACCTTGGTCTGGAACTTCCAGCCTCCAGAACTGTGAGACAATATTTCTGAAGTTTAAGTCCCTCAGTCGGTGGTGCTTTGTCATGGCAGCCCTGGTGAGCTCAGACAGTGGGGGATGGAGATGAAGAGAACATGGCTGCAGCCCTAGAGAAGGGCATGGTGGGCACGATTTGTCTGTGCTAATACAGGGCGCAGAGCGACAGGGAGAAGGAGCCGTTGGGTGCACTGGCTGAGCCGGCTGGATCGTGTGGAAGAGCTGGCGTCTCAGGCAGAACTTGAAGGATGGTGGGGTGGAGGGAAAGGCCGCTGTGAGCAAAGAGGCCACCGTGTGAGACGCAGGCACATCTGGGGAAGATGGACATGTCCGGGCGGTAGAGCCAACGGAAGAGCGGACAGTGAGTCTGGGCGCCAGGCTGGAGTGGGGTCAAGTTGGGTCTTGCGGTGGCCACATATTCAACGGCACAGCTGCTCTGACCAAGGATGAGTTTGCCCCAAAGGCTGGGCCTGGCTGGGCTGTGACATTCTTACTCCAGGCCAATACAGAATTAGTTCCTGCTGTGCCTGACCTGTTGTGAAAAGCGATTTAGTTGAATAGGTTCCAGGTGATTCCCTTGATTGTGACTGTGAGGATTTGTGCAAAAAAGGGCGCAGGCTTTACATCCTTCATCAAGGCTGCTCTTGGTACTGACCCAACCCGCACGTGGGGCTGCTAAATCTTCTCGGTTTGCCGCTCCTTTGGGCTTCTGACGCCATCCTCCGTGCCTGCCTCGTTTGTTGGGCTGTGACCCCACAGTGAAGCCAGAATATGGCTTGCTCAAAACCACAGCTGGAAAATCAAATTTTATTTTCAACACATCTTTACCCTTCTTGCTGCTGATTTGTCTGGCTCCAAGCCAGTTTCCCTATGGCTTTGGTTTTAATATGTGGCCATAAACCCCTCAGTGTTACAGCCGCTATAAGCCAGTCCTGGTGTCACTTTTCTCAATACAGTTAATTAAATTCTGAGCACAGTGTGCAAATGGAGATTATAAAGCTCCTTGGCTGGAGAGAGTGGATTGGATACATCTGGGCGAACATTCAGATGATCTTTTTACAATGGTGTCAACACATAACGGGCAGAGGCCATCTGGGATGGCGTGGGAAGTGGCACTTCTAAGGTCCTTTAAAAAATTCTACGATGCTCCCACCTTTAGATATCTACCCGAGAGAAATGAAGACATATGTCCACAAAGGCTTTCCTAAGAATGAAGATAGCAGCATTATCGACAGACACAGCTCAAGTGTCTGTCACCAGGAGAATGGATAAGCAAACTGTGGTACCTCCATACAATGGACTATTGCTCAGTAATAAAAAGGAACAAATGACACAAAAGTACATACTGGTGATTCCATTTTACGAAGATCATCAGCCAGCAAAACTAATCTATAGCCACAGAAATAAGAACAGTGGTTCCTTAGGGTGGGGTGCAGACTAGCTAGGAAGGAGCCCAAGGGAACTCTCTGGGGTGATAAAATATTCCATATCTTGACTGTGGTGGTTGCTCTGGTATATATGTTTATCAAAGCTCATAATCAAAAAAAGGTCCATGATGACACAACCCTGAGAGATGCTGGAAATTGGTGTTCAGCCTGCTTACCTTTCAGGATGGAACTCCTTGGGCTCTGGCCAGTGCTCAGGATCACGGTGCAGAACATAGATGGCGATCATCACCGGAGTCCCCCTGGGGATGTTCACCCCATTGAACTCTGTGGTTTTCTTACAGACCCTCTCCACATGTCCTCCTCGGGGGCAGATCCTGGGGACTCGTTCACCAGCATGTCTAGGGACTCCATCTGGAGGAAGACCTGGTAGGTGGGGCGCCTGACGGAGAAAAAGGTGTTTATTAAGTGGCTACTGAATGCACCCTGTGCTAGATGCCAAGAAAAATGAAGAATCTTATCTTTCAGGGTTCTACTGGGGCCCCTCTGCTTGCTCAGAGCCAGTTCTGTCTGTTGTGTAGACACTGTGAGCTGCGGGTGAGAGTGGGTTCGACTGTCCCATGTCTCGTTGGATGTCATCATGTGTTTAACCAGTAAGTCTCTTCCACTGAGTTTGGAGTGGTTTGGGTGTGAGATGGCGGCCCACTGATTACTTTTAGGGTTGGTAAAACCTTTCCTTTCTCAGAATAGTCTGTGCCTATACGTATATGGATGTCAATGTCAACTCAATATCTCCGTGGGATGGCTAACTCAACATGGCCAAACAAAATTCTCTGTCCCCATCAAAGTGTTCCTCTAGCCTCCCCCATTTCTGTCAATGGTCCTACCATCCACCCGCTTGCTCAGGCCCGGAACCTAGAAGTCCTTGATTCTTTGTTTTTAAACACACCCTGTTCAATCCATCAGCAAATCCCATCAGTTTCACTTCCCAGATCTCTCTAGAACCCAATCCATTTCTCAGTGTCTACTTTCTGTCCTCTTTCCCCTGGACCTCAGCCTCCTCACTGGCCTCCCTGCCTCCACTTTTTCCCACTCCATATATCCTATCACATCATCCCCTGCACAGTGGTTTCTCACTGCAGCAAGGTCCAAAGCCCAGCTCCATCCCGTGGTCTACAAAGCCCTACAGGATCTGGACCCTGCCCTCCCCGCCATCCTCCCCCTGCATTCTCTACTCTCCGGGGACCCTGACCTTCTCACAGGTCCTGGGTTCATTGAGCCCCGTCCTGCCTCGAGGCCTCTGTACCTCCTAGTCCCTGCACTTGGAGCACTCTATTGTAAGGCTGCCTTCTTCTCAGTCAGATCTTCCTTCAAGTACCACCTCCTCAGAGATGTCTTCTAGAACACTTGATCTCAAGCACACCCTCCACCCAACCCCCGCCCCACCCTCTGCCCCGTCCCTGTTCTCCAACCTGCTGTCCTGTTGTATTATCTTCACCGAATGTATCACCATTTGCATCTGTCTTGCTTATTTATTGGTTTATTTACATCTATCTTTACTTATTTATTGGTTTATTTATTGTTTATTGCCTGTCTGCCTCCTCCCCACCCAGGAGCATTTACATAATTTGCAGGGCTCAGTGCAAAATGGAAACGCAGGTCTCCTTGTTCAAACGTTATGAAGGATTTTAAGACAGTGACAGAACATTCAATCAAGCGCATTTGCTCCTGCACGGGTCTCCCACCCACAGAGCCAACCCCGTCTCCACCCATCATGCCTGTGAGTAGAGCTCCTTGAAGCCAGAGCCTTGTCCTGCTTGCACACCACTGGACCCCTGACACCTGGTCTGGTCTATTCTAGGTGCTCAACAAAGATTTGCTGCATGCACGAATGTCAGGCCACTTTGCACATATTATGTAATTTTAAGATATTCTTAACTATGCCACATTTTCATTCCTGCCACCCCTAATTAGTTCTTTTGAGGCAGAATTCCTATCTCGCACTGCTCCTATGAGATCCTGGAGTCAATATCTGGTGTCATATAACACATACTTGTTGGTCCAATGGTGTCAGCATCTCCCATTCTCAGAACATTCTAGAATTTAGACTCAGACTTAAAAATGTGAGATTTAAGTAGCCAGGATTGTTGTTCCCATGAAGGCTCCCAAGCCACTTCACGTTGTTAGGCAAGGCACTGTCTCCCTCCTCTTGAAATTTCTCTTGCATCTCTGGATGAGTGGCCAGGTTATAAGCTATGAAGTTGAGGGTCGAGCTTGTGGTCTCATAGCCAGCAAAAATAAAGGTAACAGCTTGTGCAGAAATATCCATGTCAGTCAAAGTTTGGAGGCAAAAACAGAATTGCACTATGAACAGATACAGAAACAACAGACATGGAGTCTGGACACCTCCCGCGACGGTGGCCTCAGAGAGTCCTTCCCTTTCTGGTGTGTTCCTGGCTATCTAACCATGTGAAATTTACCACCTCTCCTCAGTTCTTGTGAAATGCCCATCTAACAAAGGGAAAAAGGAACTGGGAAGCAGAAGCCCTTGGCTGGGCAGGTGGTATTTGTGAACACTCACCCCATGAGGTTTAGTTGGAAGAAGATGGTCTGGTGAAGGTTCTGGAAACAGGAGGATGATGGAAAGATGGCAGAAGGCTCATGGGATTCTACGAGCTGGAGACTAGATCTCATAAAAGCCAAGCCCCCCCGATACACAAATCATAACCACAATGAGATACCACTTCATACCATTAAGATGGCTACTATAAAACAAACAAAAACCTGGAAAATAACAAGTGTTGCCTAAGATGTGGAGATATTTGAACACTGTGCACTGTTAGTGGGAATGTAAAACGTTGTAGCTACTATGGAAAACAGTATGATAGTTCCTCAAAAAATTTAAAAAATGACTTCATGGGGCCAGCCCGGTGGCATAGTGGTTAAGTTCACATGCCTCGCTTTGGCGGCCCTGGGTTTGCAGGTTCATATCCCGGGCACGGACGGACGCACCACTTGTCAAGCCATGCTGTGGTGGCGTCCCATATAAACTACAGGAAGATGGGCATGGATGTTAGCCCAGGGCCAATCTTCCTCAGCAAAAAGAGGAGGATTGGCATCAGATGTTAGCTCAGGGCTAAACTTCCTCACAAATAAATAAAAAATGACCACAGAAACCAGCAATTCCACTTCTGGGTAAATACCCCAAAGAATTGAAAGCAGGGTCTGGGAGAGATATTTGCACCTATGTTCATAGCAGCATTATTCACAACAGCAAAAAATGTTGAAGCAACCCAAATATGCAGTGATGGATGAATGGATAAATAATATGTGATATAAATAGATAGATAGATAGATATAGATAGATAGATAGATAGAGATGATGGGTAGATATACATGTATATCTATCTGTCTGTATATATACAATGAAATATTACCCAGCCTTAAAAAGGAAGGAAATTCTGACACATGCTACAATGTGAATGAATCTTGAGGACACTATGATAAATGAAATAAGCCAGACACAAAAAGATAACACTGTATGATTCCACTTATATGAGGTTCCTTAGAGTAGTCAAATTCATAGAGACAGAAAGTGGATGGTGGTGCCAGGGGCCGGGGGGAGGAGGAATGAGGAATTAGCGTTTAGTGGGGACAGTTTTAGTTTTACAAGATGAAAAGAGTTCTGTGGATGGATGGTGGTGATGGTTGTACAACAATGTGAGTGTACTTTATGCCACTGAACTGGACACTAAAAAATGGTTAATAAATGGTTAGTAAACTTTATGTTATGTATATTTTACCTCAATTTAAAGAACAAGCTAACTGTCACTCCAGGTGTGGCCCCTGAGTGCCTCTGTGGCATTACCTTGAGGGAGCTGGCTGGCCTTGCTGGATTCGGGCTCTCCCGGGTGTGGATCACTCGCTACAGGAAATCCACGTGATCTTGACCAGAGCGGAGAGGGGAGGAAGCGAGGATGGCAAAGCTGACAGCTTTGTCTTAGATGTTGCTCGCTGGCTCCCACTGGAGGAGAGGCCACGGCTGTGTTTCCCAGACCTCAGCCTGTGTCCCATCTGCGACCTTGTCCAGGCGGAACCAGAAGGTGGCCACCTCCTGCTCTCGTCTGCTACCTGTCTACAGCCCAGTGACCACCTCCCACTAGACTCGTTCATCAGCAGAGCTACCTTAAGCAAAACTGCTGAAGTAGGAATTTCTACGTTTATTTTTATGTACAAATTATTTTGTTTAGATTTATGTATATTTCTAAACATTCAAAAATGTTATAAAAATTACTCATAAGCCAATACGTAAAGATACATGCTGTTGTGCTATTGAGTTTTTTTTGTATTTCTTTCCAGTCTTTTTTCCAGCATTGTTTGCATGCATAAGTTAACACTCTATGCACAATCTCGGCATTTTGGTGTTTTCCTCCTATCATTATAATTTTGGCATTTTCCCCTGCCATAAAAAATTCTTCAGCAGGCGCTTGATGATATGCAAATAAGAGCCCATTATATGAGTGTGCTATCACTTACATAACTCTTGCTTTGTTTCCAATTTTTTTCTGTTTTGCAGAGAATGCTCCAATGAACAAATTTTCTTCAGAATTTTTTTCTTGTACACATTTCTGATTATTATATTGGAATAGATTTCTAGATTTTTTTTGAAGTGGAATCACCAGGTCAAGAGTGGGAATCATTTTAAAACTTTCCCCACTCAGTGCCAAATTGTTTTGTGATTTGAGTAGGCTGGGTTTCTGTATATTTATTTACCACTGCAAAATTTTATGTAAGCATGATTTGTTATCTTGGTAGTAGCAGGCCTCAGAAGATTTCCTTCAATGAATGTGAACTGAATACTTTTTCTTTTTTTGTTATTTATTTTTCATTGTTTTCAAGAGAGTTTGTACCAGTTTCTACCGATATTGTCCATGCCTCCAACTCTTCCAACATTTCATATGTACACTTAATATATATAATCTATATAATATTTATTATACAATATATAAATATTATTATAATATATAATAATTTTAAAATTCTAATTTGATAGTAAAATAAACTATGCTATATTTTTAAATCTGTATGTTTTTGGTTACTAATGAAGTTGAATGTCTTCCTATATATGTTGATTTGCATCTGTGTTTCTTCTTTTACGAATGTCCTTTGAGTGTCTATCTGTGGGGCCTTGGTATTTTTCTTACTGATTTGCACAGGTTCTTTATAAATTAAGTGTAGTAACACTTCATTTGTCATGTATTTTTTTGTGTGTGTGAGGAAGATCAGCCCTGAGTTAACATCCGTTGCCAATCCTCCTCTTTTTGCTGAGGAAGACTGGCCCTGGGCTATCATCTGTGCCCATCTTCCTCTAGTTTATATGGGACGCCGCCACAGCGTGGCTTGACAAGCAGTGCATCAGTGCGTGCCAGGGATCCAACCCTGCGAACCCCGGGCCACCAAAGCGGAGCGCGCGCACTTAACCGCTGAGCCGCCGGGCGGCCCCTCACTTGTCGTATGTTTACAGGCATTGTGCCCACCTTGCTGTCTGCAGTTAATCAGGTAGATAGATGGTCTTCAGTTCCCTCTCTCCTCCCTGACTGAGGCCCACCCTCCTCATTCTGCCACCCCACGTGCTCTCCTCCTGCCTTCCCTTGAGGGTCACCGTGGAAGGGGTCCCGTAGGTGCATCCGTGCTGAGGTGGCCTGGGGCAGTAGGCGCCACACCGTGGAGTTTGGGCCTCTAGACTGAGTTCAAATACTTGCTCACTGTAGGAGTTTGGGCGGGTTCCAGGATTTACCTGAGTACCAGAGAAACCTGTAAAACGAGGTCAGTTTGAAGAAGAAATGAGATAACAGTCTGTAAAAACTCCTAGCACAGAGCCTGTCACACGGAGGGTCAGCAGCTGTTATTTCTCTTCTTTGACAATGAGGCACACACGGCTGAACGTGGATTAGTGTATAATCCCATCAAGGATATCTGCATTTTGATCACGGACAATGCTGTGCGTTGAACTGTGTCCCCCAAAAAAGACGTGTTGAAGTCCTACCCCCCCAGTTCCTGTGAATGTGACCCCATCTGGAAGTTAGGCCTTCACAGATGTAATGTGGTTAAGACGAGGTCATTCGGGATTAGACCAGGTGCTAATCCAGGGGCTGGCATCTTGTAAAAGGGCCGTGTGAAGACACGACGAAGTGAGGTCATGTGACGGAGGCCGAGACTGGAGTGATGCAGCCGCAAGCCAAGGAATGCTGAGGACTGCAGAGCCACCAGAACCTGGAAGACGCCAGGCCAGATCTTCCCCCAGAGCCTTCAGAGGGAGCGAGGCCCTGCCCAGGCCCAGATTTTGGCCTTCCAGCTTCCAGAACTGTGAGAGAACAGACTCCTGTTGTTGGGAGGCCCCAGCCTGTGGTACCCTGTTATGTGAGCCCTAGGACACTAAGATGGACAAGAAACCCACTCTGAGGAATGGCGAGGGGCCTGGCCTGTCCGGGTCCAGCCGCGTCAGTCACGGTGCTTCGGGAAAGTCGGAAGCCTGGCTCCCTTTCCCCAGGCACCTGCCTCCACGGCCGCCATGCTGCCTTTCCATCTGGTCCCAGCGGAGGAGCTCGATCCACCCCGTCCCCATCACGTCGGGATCTTTGGTTATGACAAAGTCTGTCCTTTTAAAGGGACAGAGGTTGTGCCCACCTCCGCTTAGCTGCTTCACCTTCCTGTCCTGCTCACTTCTCTGCTCCGCAGCCTGCCAGCCCGGGAACCAGGCTGCTCAGGCCGCCTGAATTCTCCCTGGGTCACTGCCATTCAGGTTCAGTTCTGGAGAATGAGGCAGCTCTGGGGGAAGGCAAGAGTTGGCTCTTAATGCAAATGCTTGGAGCACGTTGGTATGCAGGGACCACCAAGGTCACTTTGCCTTTGAGGACCTCAAATAGGCGTCTTGACAACTGGTGGAACCTGGTGGGGGTGGAGCGCTGGGCCTACCCTCGGCCACTGGCTTGTCCATCAGCCTTAAGATGCTAGGTGACATTTTTGAGGAAGTCCAACTCCTCACCAGTCAACAGAGTTGCCTTCCTTCTTTCCAATAGTGGCGCAAGGCAAGGGAACGCCACCAGAAGGAACGGGAAAGTGGACACCGTCAGGAGACTCCAAGTGTGGTGAGGTCACCCCAAGGGGGATCCAACCCTGCATGGGACCCACGCGTTCTTGGATGGGAAGGATGTTGGGGATGTGAGAATTCTGAGACTATCCCCCACCCAAACAAACACAATAAGAATGACCGCAGAGAAGAGTAAGAGCCGCTGACGTTTATTAGGTGCTCTTCATGCGTCATCTCATTCAACTCTTACGACCCATTTCCTAGATGAGGAAAATGGAGGTGAGAAACCCACACCGGGTCCCACGTGCACAGGAGGCTGGGCTGGACTGAAGTCTAGGCCTTGTGAGCCTGGGGTCCACACTCTAAGGGCTGCACCTCTCACAGCCTCCTCTGCGTACGTTGATGTAAGCATCATTTCTGCGTCCATGACTGGCCAGAATGGCAAGAAAGCTGGGCTTCGACAGGTTGCTGGCAAGGGGAGAACGCGAGCCAGGACAAACACGCCCTGGAAGGGCTGCGACCAGGCCTGTCACGATGACAATGCTGCTGAGGAAACGCTTTGTCTGTGTCCTGAAAACCTCGCATTCACCAGAGAATCTCTTAAAAGTGAGCTGGGCCTGCTGCATCTGGGGGTGCTCAGAACAACCCCCAGCGCTCCAGAAAAGGTCTTAAAAATTCTCTTTGTGTTACTTTTATTTTGCCCTTTGAAAAATACCTATTTGGAATATGCTTTATTATGTACATAACATATTTGCACAGCAGAATGTGGTACGCTTCATAAATAAATAAATACGCACATATTTGTGATGCATGCTGGAAAAATTGCTACTCACATGAGTGTGCAATCAGAGAGCTGGAGACCCTGGATCCACCGGGCTTGCTGTGCGTTAGCGGTCTGTTCTATTTTAATCTACTCCTGCAGAACCACATTGGGAAACGTGGAGAAATTTTCTACTGACATGAAGCATCTTCTTTATTTCTCTGCAAATCCTGTTCCCACACTTGGTCTTTTTTGATGCTCACAGCAGCCCGGAAGGGCAAGTGGGTCTTGGTTTTCCTTCAGGACGGCGGTGCTGATGGCAAGGTGCTCTGGGAGCATGGTGTGTTTCAAAGATGGCCAGGGGCCAAAGCTGGAAGCGCGATGTTGCATGTTGATGGTGTCGGGGGAAGAGGGAGACTCTCCCTCTGCCCTTTTCCTTAAGGTTCTTATGGCTGGCCAAATAATTAACAAGACAGGTTAGCAGGAGAAAATAATACCAAGTTTAATAACATGTATACATGGGAGAAAGCAGGGACAATGCGTTTCTCAACACAATAGCAGAAATTCTCATCTTAAATACCATGTTCAGCCAACGACAAAGGAGGATGGTGGGGGTGGGGGTGTCAGTTACAGGAGATTACCACTAAAGCCCTGTAAACAAGAGTAAGGTTTATTATACAGTTTTAAGGCCTCACCTTCCACATTGATAAGTCTCTAGAAATGAGGTCATCCCCCCTCTTCCCAATACAGAGAGGGAGATACCTTTACAAATGGAGACTTCCCTTGTAAATGATTGTCTGGTAACTCCTCGCAGGGCCATCCAGAGCATGTGGCCAGAGAGACAGAACTTCCGATGGGCTTGTTGGTGCCTTTTCTATTGTAACCTCTATCCTACATTATCTTTATAGCAGTCATGATAATAACTCTTACCTGAAACAGATCTTTTGTTTTAAATTCTTTAGGCAGTTTGGGAGGGGAAACTCAAATATTCTTCCTGAGTTCTCTGAGTCCTTATTGTCTTCAGCTCGAAATAATCTGCATACCAGAGTGGTGCTTCCTGGGGTAGCTTGCCCTGAGCACCATCAATGGTGAAGAGTTCTTTGTACCCATGACGATGATCAGAGGGCCCATGAAACTGAACGAGATCAGCTTCTTAACGCAGCGGCGGAGAACATCATCAAGGTTATTGATGGGATCTGTGTCCACATGGATGGAGGTGCTGGTGATGACAGCCAGACCCCAAAGGTGCCAAGTTGGAAAAGATGACTTAAAATTTAAGGAAATAAAACAGAGGTGGCAAAGTGGTTAAGAGGATCTGGGGACTTTGGAACCCACTGAGCAGCCGACTTGCTGGTCCCTGACTTGGAGGGACCGAATCAGGGACCAGCTGACTGGGCTCCCACTCAGGGCTCCTGGGCTCCCTGCTCGGGCCCAGGGCTCCTGGGCTCCTGGGCAAATCAAAAACTCAAAAGAATAGAGGAAACCTTCCTCCCATCACGGAGTGTCCGCAGCAGAAAGGTTCTGGCAGGTACAATGAGCAACGCTGTGAAATGGACACTGGAGAATCAACCAGAGGACAACTCTGTTCTCATCTGCAGGGTGCTGGAGTCTGCTTTCCACAGAGGGTCAAAGGAGGAATGAACGATGACGGTTGACCATTAGGAAGGGCTTCGTGGAAAAGGAGAGATATCAATTGGGCCTGAAAAGTGGGAGAGAATTTCTGTAAGTAAAAGAGCAAAAGAGTGTGGTGAACATCATTAGCTATCGGGGAAATGCAAATTAAAACCACCATAGGAGACCTCTACACACCCACCAGAATGACTCAAATTAAAACAACTGACTATAGTGAGTGTTGACAAGAATGAGGGGCACAGACATTGCTGCCGGGAATGCAAAATGGGATTTGGTACTTTGGGAAGCAGTTATGCAGTTTCTACTAAATGCTAAACACATACACACTCTTATGACCCAACAAATCCCCTCCTGAGTACATACCCAAGAAAAATGGGTGCATATGTCCACCAGAAGATGTGTACAAGAATGTTCATAGCACCTTTAATCATAGGAGTCCCAATTGGAAACTCCCAAACATTCACCAACAGTAGAATGGGTACATAAATTCTGGTGTATCCATAGCGTGACATACGAATAACAATGAAAATGAATGAATTCCAGCGGCACGCGATACAGATGAATCTCAGACATAACACTGAGCGAAGGAGACCAGAGCAGCAAGAGTCTAGTAGTATGCAGTTACATTTGTACAAAGTTCAAAAACAGGCCAGACTCATCTATAACGATAGAGGTGGAGAACTAGTAACCTGGCAGGGGTTCCAGGTATAGGGGGTGGAGAACAAGTGGGAAGGAGCATGAGGGAACCTTCTGGAAGCTGGAAATAGTCTATATCTTGATCTAGTTGATGGTTACACAAATAGAAACAAATGTAAAAATTTATCAAACTATACACATAAGATTTGTGTGGTTTACTGTCTACGAGTTATACCTCAATAAAAGTGGCTTTAAAAGTAACCAAAAATAATCATCAAACTGAAAAAAAAGGACAATTCAGGGAATGAATCCATGTTCCAGAAATTTACTGGGGGAAACTTCTTCCATCTTTTTGGGGAAACCAAAGTCTGATCCTCTGAGTTATTCTTATCCTTACATCAGCTTCCTGAGGCAGAAATATACACCTTTGCAAAAACCTTTGTCCAAGTCCTTGCCTCCCCCGGCCCACCCCGGTCCCCATCACTACAGGCTGCAACACATCATCCGTCCTGGGCTGCAGGGGAAACGCTTTGAAACGCATCAGTATTCCAAAGCAAAATTGTCCTTTCCTTGCAGCTTCATTGAACAAGATGTGTTTCAAAGATTGGAAATATGTAGCTTTATTTATTTCCAAAAACAACACACTGTACTTGAGGGCTGCTGAGCGAGTCTGCCAAGGGAAACGTTTAAAGCTGTTTTAATATTCAGAAAACCGTGGGCTGCGGCTTCGCATGTGCATCAGCTCCTGCAGTCAGTGGGCAGAGACGGAAGGGACGGCTCCTCCCAGAGAGGGCTGGGCCGGGGGCCAGAGCAGGCACCTTTCCCGGTGCGGATTGTTCACAGAGAGAAGAGAGGAGACGCCGTGGGTTGAGGGGGTGGGGTCGGTGGCATCAAAATTCAGGCCCACAGTAGGTGCTCAGAAAGTCCTCAGATGCTGAATGGATAAAAGGAGATTAAGCAGATAATCCCCAGAGTCTCTTAAATTGCCACTCTTTTCTGCCAAGTAGCATGGAGCCAGCACTGGATAAATCGTCCAGGTTGGAGGACTTGTCATTCCCCCTCTGGCTTCGGTTCTGCACCTTCAGCCTCCCTCAATGACACCCCACATGCCCCTGCAAGTATACCCCTATTCCCTCCTCTGGTCTCCTGGTCGGTTCTACCTCTCAGACGAGTGCTGCCACCTAGCCACACCACCGTGCTGAGCGTGGTTGGGGCAGGGCGCTGAGGGGATGATATGAAGGGGGGATTTGCATCTTAATAGGGACCAGGGGCTGGAGCTGCTTCCCTAAACCTTCAGCCCCTTGCAGACTTGCAGCCACGAGCTCCCAGCTTTCGGGCAGCTACCCAGCATGCGTGTTTGCACAACTAATCTGCGTCTACGCTTCGCTGCCCGGTCTGCAGGTGCACGGCGCTAGCAGACCACCGAGGCCTCGGGTTGTAATTTCCAGCTCTAGTAAAATCCCCGCATTATTTTTTATACCTGTTCTAAACTCATTTGGGCTCTGGGCCTTTTAGGCCATGCTAATAATGTGCAGGACCGGGAAAAGGCAAATGGGGCTTGTCTGGCTTCGTACTGTCATCTATAAAAAGAGGAAGAGAAAATCCTGAGTACTTATGCCTGGGCTCTTGGACCAAAGCCCCTCCATCCATCTTGCTCGAATTCCCGACGCCGTAAAGACCCCTCTCCTCCCCGATGGCCATACTTTCTTCCTTCACTTCCATGAACTCATTCTGAGCCACTTTCTTCTCAGTGTTTTGCACCAGAAGGTCTCCATGGCGTTTGAGTAGTAGAAACATGTGGAGCACAATCATAGCCATTCTGCGTTTAGTCATTGGTGTAACCAGTGCCGAAAAAGACATCTGGGTGTATCTAATAGAAAACTGCCATTGACCAGAACTGTTGAAGCAAAGGGGGATTCTGGTGAATTTCAAGAGGCATGAGATGTTCTGATGAATTAGGTTGAGCAAGAAAAGACATTTATTTCATTACGGTTCTTAGAACATTTCTGAAGCTCGAATTGACTTGCCTGCTTTTGCAAGTCCAGTCTATGAATATAAATCTTTCTAGGACTTAAAGACCATCTTAGTTTAAGCCATCACCATGCATGGGAGGAAATTGGCTCAAATTCTAGATGGAAGGATATCGGTGGAACGTTGGTAAATGTTTAACAACTGGCTCTCCAAGGGAGAAAGCTCTGATTTGTGGTGTTTACCAATTTCTGTGGTGTAACTGCTCCTTCTGTGGCCGACTTCAAGCTCCCCGTGTGATATCCCAGCATGAGAAGTGGGGACAAGACGTGCGTAATTGGGTTTCACAGGTGGTACAAGCCAGTGGCTATGCCACCCCCTTTAAAAAAATATATATATATATATATATATAAGTGAAAAATTTATTCTGCTATCATCTGGCCCCTTTTGTCTAAAAGGCAAGTGCAGATTAAAAACATTGAGGGATGAGAAGCTGGCCCAGTGGCATAGTGGTTAAGTTCGAGCTCTGCTTCGGCGGCCTGGAGTTTGCAAGGTCGGATCCTGGGCGTGGATCTACCCACTCCTTATCAAGAGATGCTGTGGCAGGCATCCCACATATAAAGTAGAGGAAGATGGGCAAGGATGTTAGCCCAGGGCCAATCTTCCTCAGCAAAAAGAGGAGGATTGGCAACAGATGTTAGCTCAGGGCTAATCTTCCCCACCAAAAAAAAAAAAAAAAAACAATTGAGGGACGAACAAGTCCCATGTGGGTCAACTCACTGCATCCCACTCTGGCCAGATTGAGGGTTTGAGTTGGTTTCTGGCTAATAACAATTCGAGACAGTACAGACTCTGTTCTTTCCTTTAAGATGCTGTTAATTGAATAGGAACTAGTCCAACAGAACTAATGGTGGCACGTGGGGTTTTAAATCTCTCTCTGCTAAGAGACTTGTCTGGACTCTCAATGTTGCTCACGCTCACCCTCACTCCTTGCCCTTGAGGAACGTGCTGCCTGCCCACGTTCAGAATTAAAGGTGCCTCGTATTTCGTCCACCTTAAATTCATTTGTCACGAGAGGAGCTGCTCTTTGAAGCACTCTGCGAGAAGTTCCATGAGCCCAGGCCGAAGAGCTTCTTCCCAGGGTGGGCCGGGTCTGAAGAGCCTCCTGGCCCCTGGCTCCAGGCCAGGAGAAGGGAAAGCCAGTGGGTCATCCCACTGCCAACTGCTCCCCAGTCACCGGGATCCACCTGCAGGGCTCCCAAACACCGCTTCCCCAGGTTCCCGGGGGGTGGGGATCGGGACAGAAGAGACTCATATATAGAAAGAAAGTCACATTTGGAAACTTGAATGCTGTATACCTACTTTCCACCCACTTCTTAAAAATTCTGATTTAGGGACAGCTAAACCATTTTGTTACACACGTTAGTGATAGGATGATGTTGTCCACGTTTACCTAAAATCTAAGAATTTTTGTCTGATGGAAAATTTGAAATCAGATATTTAGTTTCTCCAGCTGACAGGAACCAGAAAGTGGGGCATGTTCTATCCTCAGGGAGGCCTCCCGGACCCCCTGTCCAGGTTGGCTACACTCTCGGAACTGGGTTCCTTTCCTTCAGCACCACTGGACGCCGACAGATCCTCTGATCAATGTCCGTCTCTGCCACTAGAGTGTAAGGAGCACGTTTCTGGACACCACGTTCTGTCAGCGACAGGCACTGGTAAAGCTGCACTGAAGAGAGACAAGCCGATGGGGGAGAGAGAGGGAAGAATGGAGCATGACAGGAAGGAGGAAGAGAGAAAGGGAACCTGACGATGGAAAATGAAAGAGCTTCAAGACCCTGACACCCCTCCCCACCTGCCCGGCATCTCCCCGATCCCTGGGGGTGGCTCTGAGCCTGAGGGGCCCAGCGTCCCCCCGCCTGCTCTTCGGGGCCAGCTTGTCAACATTCACCTCCTTGAGCTTTCCGCTGCTGAAGATCCAGGAGATGATGGTTCTGAGCCGTTTGCACTTGTCATCCTCGGTGATGATGAGGCTGGATTCCAAACTTCCATTTAAACCCAAGTTCTAAAGAGGATTAAGTGAGTGAAAGCAGGCACAGCTTGGGGTAGAGAACAAGGCTTGGGAGTTTTTCCAAGGAAGGATTAGATGCACTGTCAAAAAAAATAAACACCCCAAAACCAAAAAAAGAAAACCCACGGATTCCGATACCGTGCAATGTCGCCTCTTCCCTGAGCGTCCCGGAGAAACATGACAAGGTGGCAGATGTGGGGGGCGTGTGCTGAGAGCTGACACCGACGCTGCTCCCGAGGCGAGGAACCTCTGTCACTAGTGTCGAGGGGGTCTCAGAGTTTCCCCTGCAGAACTAGTCCGTCTATTTCTTGGCTGGGGGAAATAATCAGCCATGAATGTTTCTGAACGATTATTTTTCAGTCTGAGGGAAGACTGTTGAAATCTTGCATGAAGAGTAGATAAGACCTTCCTCGCACATGCCCGTCACCCTCTCGGAAATGTGAGGAAACTCAGCTACCTAAGGGGCCTGTGGCTGGTTTGAGCCAAATCTGGGACTAGAAATCAGATTTGGGACACTTGCTACTAAGAAAAATGGAAAAGTATGGGGAAAAACTTTCCAGAAAATTGACGTCCAGTAGACTTCAGCATTGATTTTTGTTTTGCTGTGATAAAGGTGAGAGGAAAGGCAATTAGGGAAGTGATTAAAATGTGTTCTTGGCCCTGAAGACCCCAACGAATTAATATCCAATGGTACAGATTTAGTTATCATGACCAGGGGAAGTGAGAGAGATTTTTGGACAGAGGCCTGCCCGAGGCTTCTCAGATCCCCTGCAGAGGAGACCGCCAACTGGTGAAGGCCTGCAATCCATCAAAATCGCTCAGATCCTACCTGCCTTGACATATGGCTATCTTAACTTCAGCACAAGGATAAATCGTGTAACTTTGGAGGCCACCATTGGGTGTGTATAGCCATTTCCATATTAACCTGCCTTTATTTTCCAAAAATGACCGCCAATTCATGGGCAGCTGCTCTGCATCTTAGATCCTGGCGGGATTGCAAAGAGCCAAACCATATTTTTCAAAGCCATCAGAGTATGAAATGAATATATGAATATGAAAACAGGCTTCAAGCCTATTAGCTGATGATTGATTCCTATCTCGGGTTTAGAGGGAGGGAGAGGAAGCTGCCAGCACAGAAAGCCCAAGTTCAACTTGCTTCTGGTCAAGAATACGAGTGGAAGAAGTAAGCTCGAGCTGGAACCTACCCTCTGGGTGGTAAAAAGGGTGTAAAACTCCTTCTCCAGGACAGACTTGATGAGGACAGGATCCAGGATGACCAGGATGGGCGCCTGCCTTCGTAGATGCTGTTGCAGACACCAAGACCCAAAACACAACCAATGGACAGTGACTATTTAAAGTACACTCCTCTATGGAGCTCGCCCCATGACACAGTGGTTATGTTTGGCGTGCTCCGCTTCGGGGTCCTGGGCTCATGGGTTCGGATCCCAGGCACGGACCTCCACCACTCATCAGCCATGCTGTAGTGGTGACCCACATACAAAGTAGAGGAAGACTGGCACAGATGTTAGCTCAGGGTGAATCTTCTTCAACAACAACAATAAAAAAATAAAAAATAAAATAAAATACACTCCTCAAGCTAAAATGTCCTGGTTAGCAAGCCGGTGTTTTGCATATTTCCTCTCTGAGAACTTTATTATTATGCAGGCCCCCAATTCTGTTTCCCTCTTCTAGTATAAAAAATCTGAGTATTTAATTTCTTTCACTATCTTGCTTCCACCTACCTCCCTACTGTTTTATCAGGCATCCCATGCTCCAGCTGTGTTGATATCTTTAGAATTTATTGCACCCAGAACACTCCAGGGCCCTTTCTTTTTTATCCCATTCTGCTCTGGGACTTGTAATCTTAAGAGTTTGGCAATTGTGATCACCAACACCCAAAATAAGATGTAGACATGTCCACACGTGCAAAGTTATGGTCAATGCACCACCCAGCTTCCCAACCCCAAGACCACCTTCTGATTTCTGCCACCATCAATATGTTTTCTTGTCTGTTCTTGGGTTTCATATAGATGACATCATGTTATATGTATTCTTTTGCATCTGGCCTCTTTTGCCCAACATAACGTTTACGAGATTCACGCACACTGGTGTGTGTATCAATAGTTTGTGTCTTCTTATTGCTGAGTAGCATTCCACCATTTGGAATTTGTTTATCCATTTTCTAAACAAATCCACAATTTGTCCATCTTGTGTTGATGAACACTTGGATTATGAATGAGGCTGCTGTGAACATTGTCTTACAAATTGTTTGCTTGTTTTTGACAATGTTTGAATTTCTCTTGGGTGAATATCCAGGTAAAGAGTTGCTGGGTTACAGTGTAAATGTATGTTTAACTTGATAAGAAACACAGTTCTTTGAAGTGGTGGAGCCATTTTACACTCTTGCCAACACTGTGAGAGTTCAGTTGCTCCACACCCTCACCAACATTTGGTAATGTCAATCTTTTATATTTTTACCCATTCTAGTTGAATGGGTGAAAAATGGGTTGTCTCCCTTTCTATTTGACCAACTCCTATTCATCCTTTGAGACCTTTTCCGTGTGGCTATCCAGCTAAACTCTGTGTCCCTATGGAGTGAGCATAGCCTTTGTGTTGAATTTGTATCAACTGTTGAACTCTCTTCCCTTCACAGAACCACAAGCTCCCTGAAGACGGAAGTTGTGCTTTAAATGTCTCTGTCCCCTCGGTGCCCGGCAGTGTGCCTGCCCCACAGCAAAGGCCCCAAAAGAGTCTGATGAATGAATGAGGAGCAGACATGGAGGCAGAAGCTGGTTTCTGGTTTTGAAATCTTGGCATTTCTGAGTCTTTTAAAATGGGAATTTCAAGAGACATTGAGGTTAAACTGTATAAAAGGGTTATCAATATATTGATGGATGGAGTCCAATACCATATCCCCTGTCCTCGAATTTCTTAGGGGAACATTGGGCTGTAGCACTAAAATTTGTTTTGTTTGAATCCTGAGAGGGTAGGGGGAGAAAGTGAAAGTCAGGCAGCACCAGTCACGACATAGAAAATGCTGCCTAGGTCGTGCTTCCGTATGGAACCGTCTTAAAGAGGGACTCAACCTTCATAAGGACATTTCTGCCAGGGCCCGGGCGCGCACACTGGAGAAGGGTGGTCGTCTTAGCTGTGGGGTAGTGGTGGCTTCTGTTTCATCCTCATGCAGATCACCGGCATCCTTGAGGTGACCTGGGGCCACCTGGGTTCCTGGCTCCCTCAGAATCCTCTGTATCCTGTCTCAGCGTGTTGTGTTTGCATCCGTCTACATTCTCGCCCCCTGGACTCCAAGATTCTCTATTTAGCCAGCTTCTACTCACTCCTATGCATTTCTCAAGATCCCACTCAGCTATCACCCAATCCAGGAAGATTCTGGAAATATGAGTCCTTGCCCTGTGCCTGATTCAGGGCCCTGCACATGGTTGTGGTTCACGTATTGGTTGATTAATGTTCAAGTTGACAAGGACATGATAATGCCTCCGAATCTACTGTCCAAGTGAGACCAGGGCGTTACAGAGCAGGGACGACAGCGGGCACTGTGCTCTCACTGCCATTATTCCCAGACTGGCTGGCGGGCCGGACTTTTATACAGATGGCCCTGCACAGAGGAGGAGGCCCCGACCCACCTTATCTTGCAGTGGGGGAGGGAGGAGGATTAATGGTGAGAGCCTTTCCCCCATAATTTGCCATATTTCTCAAAACATTTCAGTTCAAATTCCAGAATCCCCTCTGGAAGAAGAAAGTCCTGTTAGACAGGTGATCCACTGCTGTGTCAACATGGCTCAGACACTCGGGCCATCCCCATCTCCCCATCTGCTGTTTCCCAAACAAGTCAACATTTTTTTTTTGAATTACCTAAATCAATGTAGCTTTATGTTGTGAAATAAGATCTTAGAAATTCTGAACTATGTGTACTAGCTATATGTTTTTCTAATTTACTTTAAAATAGTTAATATTAACCTAACGAATGTTTGTCCATGTTCTGCCCAAATCATTTCGTGGGCTCCTGTAGCAGACAGCCAGCTCTAAACTGAACCCGTGGAAGGGCTGGTTAGATAGTCAACTGAGCCAAACACACCCTCCGTCCATCTGCTCGTTTCTTCTTCTGCAGGGAGCAATGAGGAAGGATTTGTGGATGTGGAGGAATTCCATATGGACGCAGAGTGATAAGCAGGATTTGAATAAGGAAAGCCAGAACTATCTAGGAGGTGGGGCATGAGGAGGTTGCATAAAAACAAGAGTAGAAAGGGTGATTGCCAGTTGTTGAGACTAATCAGTCTGCCCAAGACAGTGAGGTTTTCTCAGTCCTGAATGAAGGCTAATTCACCTGACAAAAACACCTGCAAGACCTCATTTTAAGAAGATTACTGTGAGGGTCAAAACATGTGGCTCTCATAGGCTAGTTGCCGGCGCCTGTGGAGCACAGGGAGTCAGGGAGGCTCCTGGCTTGAGGAGCTTTGCTCTTGTGTGTGTCTGCCCTGAGAATTAATGGTCTGCTGGCGCATCTAAAGCCATATTAAAATTGTTGTCATCTTTTCTATTTCAAAGACACAATGTGCCTAGTCTTTCAAATTAAACTGCTTCTCATAAGTCCTTCTGAAGGAAGCAGAATTCTGCCTTTATTTGGGTTTTCAGTCCCATCAATAAGAAACTAGGAAGTTACTTGCAAATGTGGAAAGAAAGGAGCATTCCTCGAGACCTCCTGGGTTCAGCCTTTCTCCTTCTTCCTCTGACAGGTAATGATTCAGAGGGAGCAATTCAGTCCGCTTCTCTAGACGTGGGTCCCAGAACTCTAAAAAACAGGACCCTGTAATTGCTGTGGTTCCTCCTGGGCCTGGAGTGTGGAGGAAGGGGCCTGGGGCTTTGCAGAGGTGTGCAGATTGAATTAAAAATATGGTAGGAATGAAAATCCCCAAATATGCTGTAAGTTTCCGATTTCATGAAATCATGTAGGACTAGGTAGCAAGATGTATTTCACCAAAATTACGTAAATATTTGAAACTTTGGTATGACAAAAAAATCATAAAAAAGTTAAAGTGATAAAGTAACCCAGAAGAAGGCAAGAAAACAGAAACCAAAAAACAGAACAAACAGAAAAAAAAATAACTAAATGTCAAATTTAAGCCCTAACATATTAATAATTACCTTCAATGCAGATGGTCTCAAGACACCACTTAAAGACAAAGGCTGGCAAAGTGGATTAAAAAACGTGACCCAACTCTATGTCTTCTACAAGAAACTCATTTCAGATACAATAACATGCATAGGTTGAAAGTGAAAGTATTGCATTTAAAGTAATTGAAATCATACAGACTGTGTTCTCTGACCATAATTGAATCAAATTAGAAATCAATAACAGAGAGATAACAAGAATATCTTTATCTACATTGGAAACAAAATAACACACTTCTAAATAATCCATCAGTCAAATAGGATATCTCAGGGAAATAAAAAAATATGTTGAACTGAATGGAAATGAAAATGCAACATTTAAAAATTTGTGAAATGAAGCTAAAACAGTGCTGAGAGGAAAATTTATAGCACTAAATGTTTCCCTTAGAAAAGAGGAAAAGTCTCAAATCACTAATCTGAACACTCACCTCAAGAAACTAGAAAACGGATAGCAAAATAAAACCAAAGTAGCAGAAGGTAAGATATAATAACAGTAAGAGCATAAAGCAATGTAATTGGAAGCATACAAATAGTGAAAATCAATGAAACAAAAAGCTAGTTCTTTGAAATGATCAAGATAATTGAAAACGTCTACAAATTGACCAAAAAAAATAGAGAAGACACAAATTATTAATATTATGAATGAGACAGGAAAAATCACTACAGATCCTGCAGACATCAAAAGGATAATAGGGGAATACCACAAACAATGCCGCACATAAATTAACCACTTAGATGAAATGGATAAGCTCTTTGAAAAGTACCAACTCCCACAACTCACCCAGTATGGAATAGTTAATTTGAAGAGCCCTACAGCTGTTAAGGAAATTGAATTCATAATTACAAACCTCCAGAAAAAGAAATCTCCACATGGATTCACTGGAGAACTCTACCGAGTATTTAAAGAACAATTAACACTAATTATAAATCTCTTCCAGAAAACAGAAGAGGAGGGAACATTTCCCAGCCCATGCTATGAAGCCAGCATTACCCTGATACCAAAACCAGACAAAGACAATAGAAAAAAAAAAGAAAACTCAGATCAATGGTCCGTGTGAATATAGACGCAAAAATTCTTAACAAAGTACTAGCAAACAGAATTCAATAATATATA